TTTTAAAAATTAAAAATATAAAATAAGGTTGTAAAACAGTTGTAGACTGAATTAGAAGCTGGAAGCAGTTTATTCTAATTTATATAAACCAATTGTAATGTAATTACTATTAAATTTATCATTAAATGATTAGTCACAGATCGCTTGGGGATAAATGCCAAAAGTATAATTGTAAATTAAATTAAGAATAGTTAAAAAACAATTTGTGAATCGAACACACGATTACTGCTAATATTAAAGTCTTAATTATAATAATCAACGAATAAATACAAACAATGGATAGTTAATAGCTTTTAACTATTAAGTATTAACATTCATTGTAAATGGTTTTTGATCAACTATGTTATGTAGTGGGTACCTACTATAAAATTAATATTCTGACAAAAAAACCCAACAATTTAATACAAAGATTCTCATAAATTGACCTTACAGCAGCCTAATAATACCAAAAATACATTTATACAACTTTTATTATGCCTACACCTACTGAATTAAAATGTATGTTTGTGTTTGGCAGAATTTTTGATTGGGCATCCGTAGGCATCTGCCATGCCCGGGGGGGGACTTGTTCTCTAGACACCACGACTTGCCCGAAGAAAAATGCCGCCCGTGACCAAGGAATCGAACCGGCGCCGGCTGCGTCGCAACCGACGCCTTAGACCGCTCGGCCACTCCGTCCCCTGTTCACTATTATGATCAGCTATGGTGTAGGTTAGGTTTTAATACAAGCAATAAATTATTATTCGAAAACACGATTTCGTATATTATTATTAAGTAGATACAATGAAACTAAAAATAAACATATGATTGTACATACTGAGTATAATATATTATATTATAATATATGAAAATCAAAGCTGTATTTTGACTACAAATCATGTAAAGACGCAAAAAAAATTTATGTATTCTTAAAAATACATTTTGTAACAGCTTTTAAAAATAAAATTTTTTTTGTCATATTTATTTTAATTTGTATACAATCTGCATAAAATATTTTACCATACGCCCAATAGATGGAGAGATACATACATATTATGTTTTTCTTTTCTTCTTTGTTCGATCCGGATTGGGTCATCAGGTGTTTTACTGCGAGGGTAACTATCGGCATGAGGTGCATTCCGTCGGTGGTTGGTTTTTAACAGAGGCGGGGAGTATTAACTTGTCGAAAAGTTAAAGTTAAGTTAAAGAGTTATTTTTTTTTTGTAATTTTTTTACTTAACTAGTTAATTATTTTTGTTTTTAACTCGTTAACTTATTAAAATAACTAAACTAGCTAGTAACTCAACGTTTTATAGTTAATTATCATTGTCATGCAGTTAAGATAATTTAATTTTTGAGTCATGAACTAGACATTATACTGATTCGTCGACCTTTTTTTACGATTTCGGTAATTTATTTTCGAATTATATACTATAATAATCTAATTTTTTACACAGTGCGAAACGTCTTGTAAATGTTTGTGTACAACAACAAAATACTATGGTAGTGTATGACTTAAAAACATTGTACCCTCAAAAAAATTAACTTTTTCTTAACTGAGATAAGTAAATTTTATTTTCTATCTCAACTTTAAACTTATCTGGTTAAATTTTTTTTCTTTGTCAACTTTTAACTTAACTGAAGGCCATTGAATTGAACTAACTTGACTTTTCACAGTTAATTATTTCCATTAACTTGCCTACCCTATTGGTTTTTCATGAGGTGTCAACGTGTAAGAGTGTGTGGCCGATTATTCTCTGTCGGTTTATTATTATTTCTGTTTTTCTTGAGGTTTTATATCGTGGCCAAGGATTTATGTTTTGTTTTATTTTACGTAATTTATGGTTTTGTTTTAACCAGTGAGAATTTGCCATACCTATATTCTGTGTGATTATTCTTATGTTTTTTTTTTTGTCGATTATTGTGCTGTATTTTTGTTTGGAGACATGGGATACTATTGCATTTTTTTTTTGTCAGTTGTATTGTTTCCGTGTATTTCGCAAATGAATTTGTCCAAATGAATTTGGCATTGTAAGAATGTATGAAAACATAATTTTTATGGCTTTGTTAAGAATATTATAAAGTTGATGGCTCGATAATATTATAATGTCGTTATATAATATCGATTTTTTTTCGTGAACACTCAATACATTTCCCTAACGTAATCACTAATCAAATATTGTTCTCTTTCGTTTAAATTTCGAAAGACTATTGATAAAGATATTTATGATTCTTACAAGGTACGACATTATAGTTTGTTTCTGCATCTTTCGAAATCTCGTGATTCTTCCAAAGTAAAAAAAAAAAACTCAAACGTTCCACTATTACATGTAACTTAATTTTTATATCTTTTTTATATAGTCTTTAGACATTTCACTATAATGTAGGTACTCTTTCGATATTAAATAATAAATATGAAAATTATATTTGAATCGTTTACTTTAGTAAATAAATAAATATTAAACTAAACTTAAGATAAGTAGGTACGTGGCATATACACAATAGTTTTAATCATGTAGTGCGATCGTCTCATCGTATAGTTGACTTTACTACGATTAATGAATATTTTATTTATTTAATGTATATAGGTAATCAATATAGTGAGTGTTAAACAAATATACTCATCCACGGTGTTTGGTGTCCACATCAACGGTTTGTCGCAGTATACGTTTCTAATTCCTTAGTCTATTAACACGTTTACGGACAGTTACTGCTATAGCAGTAATTTCAATTTTTTTCAATTTTTATGTAATTGTTCACTACTGCTATAACAGTAATTTTGAAAACCAACGAAATCGGGCATTACTGCTCATACAGTACTGTTTTCAATGTTATTATACGAAACTAGAAATAAGATTGACCCATTACGTAGGGGGAAAACACATTTCCAAAAGGTCGATGGTAAACTCGGCCCGGGTTTTTTTCTGGTCAAAATTATGGGGTTTTATCGACTCCGCCGTTTTAATATCAATTCCGCTGGCTATCGATTCCGCCAGTTATTTATTTATGTTGATTCATCCGACTGTTTATTAAACAATAACCAAAGTATCATATTATACAGAATTGTTTTTAATTAACAGTATAGGTTAGGGTACACTTAGTCATCTTCATGTCAAGATCAACATACGTTTTTAAGGTGCACTTTTTATTGACACATTGCCATTTATTAGCGTCTAAGTATTTAACATACCTACCTACGCTTTGTTATAAAATTTAAATTTTTTATATAAGATTAATTGATTTTTCCGTTCACTATAAACAATTTCAAAATTAATTTTGACACAGTGTAACACAAGACGCGCACAAGACTACAACGGTCACTAAATGTCTATTATTTGAACACTGCAGAACCTAGTGATCAATATATTTTAAGATCATGAATTATGATCGATAAGACTTGTACTTATTTTTATTGTATGTAGGTGTATATTGGTACCTACATGAAATAAAATATATTTTTTTTCATAAACCTTTTATAGATTATAATATTGATTAAGATATAAAAACTGTTGTCCGTTGCGATAATAAGCGATTTCCACTGGAATAAATATAGCTGTGTACCTATAGTATTATGTTATAGATACAGTTGAACAGTTTAAAGTTCAATTTATTTTTTTGTTCATTGTTCGTGTATTATTCTACTTCAACTTATTTTGTTACGATTTAAATACAAATTACAGTAAGTTATAGTGTGTACCTACTAATGAAATAAAATATATTTTAACATAAATGTAAACATTTCTTTTAAATGTTTTTATTACTGTATAAAGTAAAAAAGTTCGGGGTAATCGAAAACCGGCGGAATCAATACGTAAAAAAGTTCGGCGGAGTTGATACGCGGCGCAATCGATAGATTTTTTACAGGTAAAAAGGTAATTTCGGCGCAATCGATATAAGCCCAAAATTATTTAGATGTAAACTCGGCCCCGATTTTTTTCAGGTAAAAATGATTTAGGTGTAAAAACCATCATTTTTCTTGTAATATTTTTGAGAAACATTTAGCATTACCCAGAGGACACCACGAGGAGGCGGTTCTCATTATCCTTCAAAAATTGTTTTCATTTTCATATTATTATTCATAGTATGAAATTCGTTATTTAAAAGAAAAATGTAATTAAAATGTTATAATATTGATAATAAATGTAATTATATAAATGTATAAGTGTAAAAATGTGTAGAAATATAATAAAAAAATATATAAGTAAAATTGTAGTGTAAATAATGAGTGAACAATTTTAGTATAATAATATATAAATCTAGTTTTTTAAGTAAAACGCCATGTATCTTACATATTCACTCACTGATATTTCTTTATTTTTATATTTTATAAGTGTTCTTTCTGAGAGTTCTTTTTTTTTTTATATTTTGGAATTTAAATGGTCCATTTAGGCTGTTGATTTTAATGTACGTTTCTGTTTGTACTTCTTTTAATTTTGAAATGACGGAATATATTATATTTGGGTGAGTGGAATTAAAACTTGAATTAAAATGCGCATGAAATGATTCACATGCATTTTTTGTTAAATACGTTTCAACGGATGCACTGGCCTACATTTCAGGCGGAACCATAGAATCTGACACCTGACATTTTCGGGCCGAGTTTACAATCGATTTATTTTACCATCTGAAATTTCCGGGCCGAGATTACAATATCTACCTATTTTTATTACCTAAAATTCTCGGGCCGAGTTTACAACAAAAAAGGTAACTTCGGTCCCAGTTTACATTTGCCCATTACTTATACTCATATATTTGGGCACGTAACATTATCACACAATAATATTATTCCGAATATGACATGTTCTATTTTTATACTTTCTGGTGGAATTTTTGTTTTTATGTTGATATGGATGTTGTTTGTTTTGATATTATTATTATTATTATTTTATTATGATATTATTATTGAAACGTTTGGACGGAAAACGATTACGGAATAACAATTTAGTCGTATTTTGGACGCCAGACAAAGCGTACCTATGTCATTATTTTCGTGTTAATTATTTACTTTGTTATAATTTAAAATGGCTAATAGTTCTAAAAAAGCTATTGAACAGTTTTTAGATGAAAGTTTTGAAGATGAATCAGACATATCGAATGTGTATGATTCTGATGCCGACCCGGAATATCGACCAGGTGAGAATAATACTAATATTAATTTTGCTGGGCCATCACAAAGCTTAGAATTAACAAGTGCAGACGATCCATCAGCCGATGAATCGTTTTCCGAAAGCTCAAGTGATAGCACCCTAACCTGTTGATAATAGTAATTTATGGGTGAACAATTATTTAGACATTCCAGACTTTGGTTTTAATAGTGATTCGATAGGAATAAAATTAGAAATTAATGAAAATGCTCGTAATAATCCAATTGAAATTTTTAAACAAATTTGGACCGACGAAATAACTGAAATATTTGTATCTTCTATTAATAAATATATATGCCTTTACATGGACAATTTTTATAATAGTGTGACTTTATAAAATATTCTATTAGAAAAAAAAAACCCATACAACTAGTACTCTAAGGTCCAATCGCAGAGGAAACCCAAAGGAAGTAACCACTAAAAAATTAAAACGTGGTGATCATATTTGGAGACGCAACAAAAATGTTTACGTATCCAAATGGAGAGATAAACGCGATGTATTATGTTTAACTACTAAAAATAAACAATTCCATTCGTATATTATACAGTTGTGACATAAGTATAAATGTATAATATATCGGGGTCAAGAATATAATTCACATTATATTTATGAGCTGAAAATATGGACTCTAATTTAATTCGTTTTAATGACATTTTCATTTGTTAAAATGTTTTATTTTTCTTGATAAATATCACTTAGCTTAAAACTTAAGTATTGTAGGTACTTGTATCCCAAACTTATATATCCAACAACAGTATCATTATGCTGAAGGGGAGTTTCAAACATATTATAACTATTGTTATTTATACCTAATTATATTATTTGTTTAGCTAAATCAATTTTATATTATTAATAGTCTATGCGTAATTATTATTAATATTATTTTTTTAGCTACAATGGCCATTAGTTACAATTTAAAATTACAATTTTTTTTTAATTTTATTATACAGATTAGTTTTGAGTAAGAATTTAAGGATTTGTGTGGTGGTGTCTGCATTTGGTCCGAGTGCTGCGTCTGTACTATTGTCTGTTAGTATATTTCAATAATAGATGTTTGTCACAATACTCTAAGGACTACCTAATTTTATTATATTGTTAGTCACCGGAACAAATTTAACCGGAAACCTAAAATCTAATAAATTGATCTGGTCATAGGTTTATAAAATATAATAAAAAAATAAGAAGATATATCAAGGTAAAAAAACAAAAAAAAAATATTTCACTTTGGACCGATTATATATTGAAAATCATAAAAAAATACAAAAAAAATATAAGATATATCAAGTAAAATAACAAAAAAAAAAATAATAAGATATAAAAAAAAACAACTTTTGATTGATGTACTTAAACAATAATAAATATTATTGTAAAACTACATTTATTTTGTTGAGTACACAATAAAATTACTGTCTATAGAAAAATAAAATATTGTTTCTTTTTTTACTTATTAGAGTGTATTTGTATATATTTATATTTATATTTATTTCAACAGAATAATGGGCTCTCCACTGAACATGCCCCTGTGAGGGCCCATGCAAAGTAATAACTACCCCCTAGCAAAGTTTTGGCCACGCATCATATATATCAATAAAGTATTGTAATAATATTTTTTGTTGGGTATTTTTGGTCAGGTAAATATTTTAATATAATAATTAATAGACAACCATAGATAACTTGGCACTTTTACGTATATTATACGTTCGACTGTACTCAATGGCATTTTAAAAATTGTAATACTTTTTACTCTTGACCCCACAAAGTAGGTAACAAATAGGACGTACCAAGTATCAGAAAAGATGCTGATGTAAAACATCAAATCATTTTTACTGCCCCAAAATGTAGCCTCAAAACGAATATTAAAAAAGCGTGTTAGTAGATGTCACTCTGCTGTACAGTTGGTTACAAGTGGCCCAAATGGATCATTGTAGTGGATGGTCTTAAATTTGAATTCAATGATATAAAATATCAATGCATACGAAAAACGATCCTGAGCGAAGACTGACCATCAGCCTATATTATTAAGTAGGTATATTTTATGATATTATTGTGAATAATTTTAGTATAAGACATATATACATTTAAAAAGATGCTGGTATTCGGTTGATATCAAATATCAATAGTCAATAGCGTTCACCCACGAAAAAAAATGCAATCCCCCTAAATCCCATTCTAATATTTTTTTCATTCATTTACCTACTCATTACAGTAAAACAAATTACGTTAGTAACACATACAAATATAAAAATATGTATTATACCTAATATAGGATGCCAGACCACCTTCTCTGAGATTCGTTTTTCATACGCAGTGATTTTAGATTTTGAGTATAGCCAGTGCCGTAGACAGGAATTTTATATGGGGGGGGGGGGTTTATTATAATAATAACACGTTATAGTAAATTAAGAAAAAATAACACATTATTTATATTTTTATATCTTTATTTTAGTGTCTTATAAGTTATAATATCAGATCTATTTTTCTTTTAGATTCTGAGTGAAACGATGAATGTATTGATTTTACCATGATGTGTGTTTTTTTTTTATTTTTTTGTTTTTTTTTGTGTCTGTCATCACGTTTTAGGACAGTAAAAGTGCTTTGATTTTCTTCAACAGTAGCTTTTCTGATAGGAAAGTGAATCTAATTGGTACTTTGGGGGTCAAAAGTAAAAATTTCCCAGTAGTTTTCACAAGCGCCGGGAAAAAACAACATAAAAATTAAGGAAAAACGGGAATTTTTACGCAAAATCGGTTTTCCAAAAAATCGATTTTGGTTTTTAGTGTAACTCTAAAACAAATAAACGTATATACATGAAATTTTCACTGGTTGTTTATATTTGCATTTTCTATACACGATACCATTTTCAAAATATTTTGATTTATTTTGAACTGTTTAGGCACATTTTTATTTTCCATTTTTTTTAGTTTTTTTTTCTAAAAAATCAATAAAATTTTATTTGTTGGTTGCGAAAGCTTGAAAATTTAATAGAAGGCTCCTGTATATTATTTCAAAGGCAGATGAAAATTATTAAAAATCCTTAGTCACAATATTTTTTTATAAGCATTTAAAGTTCAAAAATTGACAAAATATGGAAAAATCACGAAAATTAGCAAATTACTTTGAGTTAAGAATTCGTAAAAATTTTTCTTTTTAAATCTAAGATTTGAAAATGTAATACAAGATTCCTCATAAGATTATCTACATTTATCAAAAAAAAATGTCTATAAGAAAGTCAAATTAAATTTTTATGAGCGTTTGAAATTCAAATTTTTACAACATTGGATATTCACTCGATTTATCATGTAGCGATTTCCTTATTTTGTTGTAATACAAAAACGAATAACTGTAGATACATGAAAATTTCACTGAATGTTTATATTAGCATTTCCTATACACCATACAATTTTGAAAATATTTTGACTCTTTTTCAGCTGTTTGACTGATATTTCAAAGTCTAACATCTCAGCCAATCTCTATTTAAAAATATAATTATAGTTAAAAAAATGAACATTAAAATTGAATTTAAGGCATTCATTACTTGAGCTTCTTTGAACATTTTTTTAAATTCATGATCTACATTTTCCCTCAAATTGTCAAGAACCTTGATACTGATATTGGCCAAACTGATCATTTCTCTCAAATCTATGTTTTTTTAGCACGGTTTTAACTTTTAAAGTTTTAACTATAATACTGATAATACCTAATTAATATGTTATCTTAAATTTCAGTATTATCAACATGAACATATTATAATAAGATTATCAATTATCACAGTAACAAAACGGTTATGGTAATGGTGATTTGTCATTGCGACCATTAGACGATACACAAAATACCTTACTTATAACCGATAACAACACAAACATCTAAAATATTATTAATAACTATTATTGATAAAAAATTTTTTTAAATATATAAGATATATTAGTAGTTTTAAATATTTGAAATAAATTTATAAACTTTCCAAGGGGGGAGGGGGTTCAACCGTGTCTACGGCCCTGAGTATAGCGATGAATGTATTGATTTTACAATGTGTACAATATTTTTGTGTGTACACACGTTATTATATCAATATTGTTTGTAAATATAATGTATAATGCGGTGTATTGTATAGGCAATATAGGTACATAGTTGCGGCCAAGAACATTAATTTGATATTTTACGTAATATTATGCTGAGGTTCATTGTATAACACTATATAACGCATTTAAAACATCGTCTAGTTGCATTATTATACATAATTTTTTTCTTCGTTTCATTGTACGTGATTTACAATTTATCTGATAACATATTGACAAATTGTAACGGCTGAGTAGCGTATGTTGGAGAATGGCATAGAACTTTTCCCAAATTATTAAGCTTTCAGTATGCAATTTATTATTTGTTCAACCAGATGATCAGCTACAGCGCCAGTGTCAACTCATTAACTTTTGGGGCCATTAAATGTCGGTTAGTAGATTAAATCTATTTAAATTAAAATCATTAGTTATTTTAACGAACGGTCGAGGTCAGCAAACTAATAGACCAGCCACCAAAATAAAGAAATGCATTTCTTACCATATTGTGTTATTCAATTGTAATTTAAAGTTTTCTTTCCACTGTAGTTTGAGATCGCTCTGCGTGCAAAATATCATAATAGAAGCACATATTATTGTGCATCTTATAATTTTGAAATTTTAAATTATGCTACATTGACAATTATTATTATTTCTATGTTGAGCCCGTATGACTAAGTTTGAACCTAGATAACTAATAAATATAAATATTTTATTTACATAAATGAAGTGGTTCGTGGATTAACTAACACTTTTTTCAAAATCGTTTTTATTTCATAAAATTATGGATCATGACGTATTACATAGGCTATACAAATATCAGAACAAAATAACTTATATTTATGGAGATATCAATTGATAAAGGTATTATTTATACAATCTGTCGTTCTTGTTTTGTGGTTTAAGGCGTTATTGTATTAATCCCCTATTATTTTATTAACAGATAAAATTTATAATTATAATTTATAAAATTTCAGAGTATTGTTTATGCCTTTAAAATACAAAATTTTTGTTTTCAAAAATTTCTTAGCATTTGAATAGTTAAAAAGTTCCAAACGTTTATATAATTAAACCACTAAAACTGTTCTCTTGAATAATTTCAAAATTGTGAGTTAACACCTTTATAAACTAACCCCTTCAAATATAAATGAATGAGCTCATTTAATCCAGATAAAATTCAGATAAATTGTACATACAAATGTATACATTTTAACAATAGGCGTTTGATTGTAAAGTGTCTCAGTGTCCTGTTGAAGTGAGAGCAGGTTTAGATGGATATTATGTACAACCGAATAAAGGGAAAATAATCAATCTTAAGGTACAGTGCCTATATTATATCAGATTAATATTATTATTTTGAAAGTTGAAACTTAAGTAAATATTTAGCACAATATTTTACTTTGATTGATCATTTGGCATTCTACGATTAGTGAGTGGGAAAGAGAGCAGTCGATATTATGGTAATAACTGCTTTATGTAGGAGGAAGAAATAATTGCGACACTAAATATTACCTACACAATACCTACACGTATGTGTGTGTGCTTGGTATTTAATATTTTTTAATATAGTTCTTAGACGATAACACTGAAATAAACACAAATATTATAATACAATTGATATTAACCTGATTTTCGGTTTAACATTAATTAGTGACATGTAACATTATAGAGACCAAGTAGGCAACACCTTAAATATGAGTAGGAGGGTATTTATAGTAGCGAAACAGAACATTTAATTGGTAGATATAACTAGGGGTGGTAGGTCACCTAGAATTATACGTCAATTTTTTTACGGTACACGGCACTGAGTTGGAATATTTTATATCATGGTGGATGTTTCCAATTCCCACAGTAAAAATTTTTACTGTATTACAGCATTCTACGATTAGTGAATGGGAAAGAGCGCAGTCGATATTATGGTAAACTGCTGTATGTAGGAGGAAGACATAATGCGACACTAAATGTTACCTACACAATACCTACACGGATGTGTGTGTGTGCGTGCTTGGTATTTAATATTTTTTAATATAGTTCTTAGACGATAACACTGAAATAAACACAAATATTATAATACAATATTGATATTAACCTGATTTTCGGTTTAACATTAATTAGTGACATGTAACATTATAGAGACCAAGTAGGCAACACCTTAAATATGAGTAGGAGGGTATTTATAGTAGCGAAACAGGACATTTAATTGGTAGATATAACTAGGGGTGGTAGGTCACCTAGAATTATTTGAGCAAGGTCAATTTTTTTTAATTACACGGCACTGATTTGGAATATTTTATATCATGGTGGATGTTTCCAATGCCCAAAGTAAATTTCAGTAAATTAAAATAATCAAAAAAAAAAAAATAAATGTAATGACAATATTTGATTGAAAACTGAAAAAGTTTCTACTCGAAACATTTTTCTAATTATCTATATAAGTAGTATGTTCATCTTAGATAAAGTTAAAAAGTTACTTATATAGATAATTTTAACACTTATTATTATTAAATTTAATGATTAGATAGCCAATATTCACGAAAAGACAACGTGAGTTGTACAGTAATTGTAACTCGCAAGTCTAACAGTTATGACCTCGGTATGTTGTTTAAACAATAATTTAAATGTGGTGGGTATGATGTTTTTTTTAAAAATAAGTTTATTCGTAGTATATATACATTACATTTATTTACATTGCATTGAGATTTAATGAAAAATAAATAAAAAAAATTGTTTAGGTAAATACATAATGAAACAATATCTATTACAATGATTAAACTGTATATTACCTACTGCATAATAATTAAATGAATAAATAAATTGTATTGACTACATTATTTAACATTTTTTTTTTTTTTTTTTGTTCATAAAAGTATTAAATAGAAAGAAAAACAATAAGTTAATACATTTTGTGAGAACACAAATGAATGTACAGTTTTAATGATAAACAATGAGCTATAGTTATCAACACAGTTAAAAAACATAAATATAATAATAAAATACAACAAGAAATGAACGTATTACTTACAATTTCTTTACATACAATTAACAGTTATGAATATTAACATTTTATTATACTTTAAAACTGGGATAATAAAGATATGGTTCGTTTATATATATATATATATCATATAATTATTATGAAGAAGTACAACGATTGCGTTGATTTTTACTTCAAAACAATATTTTTTAATTATTAATGATTTTCTACTGAGAAGGTTTTAATGCTTGCACAGTCGTACAGTTTGAATACTAAGAAAACAAAAATTGACTAAAATCATAATAGGTATTGTTAAATATTTGTAAATATTATATTATTTAAGTGCTATAGCCTTTAAGTAATCGAGAGATCAATTTTGGCTCGTTATTCTTAGCTCTAAAATTATTCTTATGAAATATTTTATAGTTGTTCCGTGTAGGTATACATTTTTTTAATTGTGTTCTATCGCTCTGATTTAATTTTATACTTAACCAAATATTGTTATATTATAATAATTTTACATTAAGCGTAAAATGTCTCATATCCATGTACTACAGAAATATATTGTTGTTTAATAACTATTTAATATTATATTGTGTTAAACATACTGTTATTTAATACAATATGTTTAGGTAATGGACGATATTAATATATCCTCTGTGATTCTACCTCTGTGCCTCTGGGCTGTGTGGCGATAGTTAATTAAATATTTTTTTTTTTCATCATTATAATATCTATTAATTTTAATTTAAACTTTGTTTTTTCATTATTTGATTTATCATGTTTAATAATGGAGTTTAATACTAGATTTTCATCATGGTTGGCATAATATGCGATTATAGGTGTCATTTTAAATCCTCGTCAAGATTGCAAAGGAAAAACAGATTATCCACCATTAGTAGTAAATCGTTATTATTATTACATATATGTATATTATATAATATGTTTAAAAAAAAAACAAATAGAAATCTAAACTAAGAAAAAATGTATTTTTAGTTTTTTATGATTTAATTATGCTATAATTTTCAATTATGAATATTGTAGTATAATCAAAATATTTCTAAGTTGTACAGGTACAAGACATCGTGGTAGCGCTCAAATTAAAAGTTATTTATGTGAAAACTGAAAATTATCAGAAAGTGTATTTATTCATATTTATGGTATTGTATTTTATTTAATTATAAAATATTAATTTTTTTTGAGAAACTATGCTATTTAAAAACGACAATCCCTAGAATTCGTTTATTTTGAATTAAAAAATCAAAAAAAATCTCTATGTTTACGAAACGAATAAGTACTTTTAAAATAAGTTTTATTGTAATTTTACTTATTTTACGTGTCAAAAGTTAATAACGTACCACCAAGATTAAGTGTGTTTTCATGTTTAAATTTATTAAATTGGTCATTATCACTTTACGAGGTTCTATTCGTCGGTTACACGGTTATGTTTAAGTGAAAAAAATCAATAGCAACATATTCATTATGGTAATGGACATGAATTGTCTGTACGAACAAGCTGATGTAACCCTCTTCATATTTTTACATTACACACAATGTTCACAGCTTATAAAACTCGTTTGATGTAATAAACACAATATAATACTATTATACATCAATTTTATTCATAATATATTGATTGTTCTCGATTCGTTTCTCTCATCGTTCTTTGAGTTTATATCGATTTACACCCGGTAAATAATTAATCATACAATAATTAATATAATATACTTAAAATTATATAACACGATTCGACTTGATACGCAGATATTTGTTTATACATTACATATACATTACACACAAACAAAAGAAATAATTATAGACTAAAGTAAATTCGAAAGTCTTTTAAGTTGGGTTTTGCTAAGCTCATTCTTGGGCAAGCAACGATCCCGTCCGTTAGAAACAATACATTCTCGAGGCGGCAGGATTTGCTGGCGTTTGGGATGAGCAAGGCAGCCGGCTGACCGTCTCCTTGCCGCCATTTTGTCATCCATAATAATATTGCGAGCTGTCATTTCTACACAGACTTTTGGGCGCGATACCTTCGTTTCCATATCTCACCACCTATATACATTGGCAACAAAAGTAAACCACAATATTAATCGTATATCATATAATTATTATTCAGATATTAATTAACTCGATTATAGAATACATCTGTGACGTCTGAAATAATATTATTGTGCTCGTAAAAAATGAAAAAATTCTACGAGACAACTTCAAACACATAACAGGTTTTGCGTATAGACGCAGGTCTAGGTAGTTTTTTTTTTTAAGAATAATTTACTATAATATGCTCATAATTAATACACTTAATGTCCCCGGAGGAGTTGCAGGTAGAAAAGTCCGGAGGACCTCTGCTAAAAGAAAAAGATCCGAACAAAGAAAGTAAGCGTGTCCTATTAGTATTTTTTCTAAAACTGTGAGGAATAGTTTAGAAATGTGCAGTTAGTACGTAATAATATATTATGGTTGTTCGAGAATTTTTTCATTTTTTTTTTCGTCCATATTAGACGTTGAGAATTCAACTAAAGAAAACAAATCTGGTGTTCTAGTAATAATAGGTATGCGATCCAAGGGGAGGTCTCGACCCGGGCCCCCTCCCCTTGTTTTCGCAACTAAGTCGGTGTCATTTAGAAATTATGATTCTAAATTAGTAATTATTGGATTTATCTTTATTGACCAAAATACGTGATGGGGGAAACAAACTTGTTGTTTTATCAAGGTCAGGCTTCTGTGTTCCCGTTAAAAGACGTCGATCATTTTTTGGCATATCATAAAATATACCATTGTCTAGTTTAAATAGTCAGAACTTAGAATTACTAAACCGGCATCAAGCATTATTTTGATAGCTTAAAGTGGAAAAAATTGGAAAGTTTTATATGTTATACGAATCATAATATATATGTTTCACTGTCTTGTATTTTATGTTACTCAACGATCCTCATACTCCTTTGCATAATTGTGCAATGTTTATTACACGACGACACACTAGATGATGTTAAGTTAAGGTTAGATAACCTATGTTTCGTGAAAATCGTTGAAAACTTATCTAACGACATTAAGTATATGGCATGTTACCAGTGTATATATTTTTAACCATTTGCCATTTAATATAACATTTTTTGTGGTTTAACTCTAGTGTTTAATGTGAAATAATATTTCAACAAAAAAAAGTGCATAAGTATAAATGTATAAAAATGAGAAAAAGTTTTAAAATTTATGTTTACATAAAGTCGTTTTCAAGATAGATGTAAAACTGTATTGTTCTGTTACATTTATATAAAGTTCCTATATAGTATATACGCACTATACAGTATACAGTCATACGTTTATTAATTTTAAAATCGTTTTACACAGTTACAAATTTAATAGCCCATTTTAAAACGAATATTTTTCAACACGGGTTTCCACATTATGCATGTATAAAAGTTGACCAAATAAATATCAAATTTAACCTGAGGTACCTATATTAGCTACATTTTTTTTACCAGTTTAAATATTAAATTTTAAATTAAATTGGATTATATAGGTACTGTATCATAAATTGAAAAACTATAAAAAATCTAGTGGCCAAAGCCAAGTATATTATTATAAAGAATTTTAGCGATTTCGTAATTTTTGTTTAATTTTACAAGTACCTGCGAACAATTTATTTATAATGTGTTTGACCAGGTATAGTTTAAATATTAATACATGAGTTGGGCGGGTTTATCTCTCATCGAGCCACCAAAGGGAGAGAGGCCGAATCAAAATTGTATTTATTTATTTTTTTATTGCTATATTGTCATTTTTTTTTTCGTAAGAATTCTATTCTAGATATTTTTTGAACAAACCTCCCAAAACTACTTTATATAATATTATACAATAACATAGGTAGACAATGAAAATTTAATTATTTCTTCAGGTCTCAACTCAATACATTATGTTTTTTCAATGTATGTTTTTATTAGAAATTGAATAACAAACTATAACAATGCAAACAGATTTTCTCCCCTCCGAATACATCGAATCCGTGTCACCAGTTGCATTACTAAAACATTTTGGTTTTTTTAATTCACCCATTTTATGTTAAATTCAAAAACTAAGATCTTCAGTGCGTGTATATATACGTATGCAGGGAAAGGAAGATCTGACATATAAAAATAAAAATTGTTAGTAGCTACTATTACTATACTAGTATGAAAACAATTTTGAAAATTATATGGATAATAAATAATCTATAAATAAATAATTGATTGGTGCAAAAGTTTTTGTCAGGTCTTTCTTTTACATCCTGCACGTGTGTTGTGAATCTCTGATCGATATATAATTAAATATTATGGTCCATATGAAACTTTTTGAGTATAGGTATATACTTTAAAATCATTTTAACCGGAGTCGTGATAGTATTATAATACATAATAATATTAGAAAACATCACTAATTGATAGAGATTATACTTGCTTCACGTATAATTGAAAAATTAAGTTAAATTTATAATTGTATTAATTATTATTAATAACATCTTTTAGAAACCAAGGTAGAGTTGTGCGTGGATAAACATTATTTTCAATATATTATAAATTAAATATGACAGTTTCCGACGATTTTCATTATTTTGTTGATCGTTAAATGTATAATAAATGTATACATCCATTAGGTACATGATAAAAAATTATAATATGTATTATTTGGTATTACAAAATTTTAATTTTTTTTTTTGTGAATAAAATATATTTTTCAAATGTAGTGAATTTCTGGAATTTTGAAGTACAGCGGTACCTCGATAATTCGAATTAAAAAAGAAATAAAACAACATGAGTCTTCACAAAAAGAATTCATTTTATTATCTACCTTTTATAATTTTATTTTCATTACTATAAACGTGACTATAAAATAAAAAAATTAATATTACAGTCATTTTGATATTTATATTAAAATTTAGTATGAAATGTTTTTTAGTTCTCTATATTTTATCTTCAGCTTATAACTTATTTGTTATTAGTTTATTACATATCAAAAAAACTACGTAGGTTTTATTTATTTATTTAAAATAAAAGGCAAGTTTGAGGAGTTGTTTCTAGTCTTTTATTTTTTTTTACCTGGTAAGTATATTAAAATCCAATTTGAACATTTATTGATCAACCTTCGATTTTTTTACCACAAAGGGTTTTTATCGCATGTTATAACCTATTTTCAAATTGATGTTCATCTTGAACTTGTAAAAATTGTATACCTTAACTTTAAATCTAATTCTTCTGATGTTTATTTCATTGTTGACCTGTTTATTGTGTGACACAGGTAGGTATATATTTATATTTTATGGGGTACTGAACAAACCTTTTAAGTCAATTATTACATATTTTGTTTAATATAAGAAAATGTTTAATTTATTTCTAATTTATTTGCATTTGGGTAGGTATAATACAGTATTTAAAATCATATCTTTATCTTTATTTTTAATCATTTAAAGGGTTACTAACAGTTATTCCAAAGTCTTTAGCGATATATCCTTTTTTTTTAAGTTTAAATTTTCTACGATTTCAATTAACTTTGCTTGTCTGTTATTGTTTATGTGTTTTATTTAAGTTTTTTTGCCACTATATTATAGTATGCTCAATAAATAATTAATACACATACAATACGATATCAGCCGTTAACATTACGCAAACTGAGATTGTTTACCTATACAGGAATATCGAAAAATCACGAATTTAGTTGCTACCAAAGGCCTACAACATTTTGTATTCGTAGGAAGTGTTATGGGCATTTTTGTTCTTTAGTTTATTTAAAAACTTTAGTTTTGAGATTCAATTGTATACCAATGCATTTAAATAATAATATAAATATAGTTAGTATGTACAACGTTACCTTGCCATATTATTATTTTAATTTTACGATTCAATGAAGTTTACCTGAATACTTATTGTGTGCAAGTGCAAAATTTGCATAGGTCTACTAGATGACGTTTATGCAGATTCACTTATTGCGTAATCGGAACAAATTTACTCTCTTTTATGGGTAAATTGAATTTACATATTGTATTCCGTGAGTGTGTGAATTTATACTATTCGGGTTGTGTAGATTTACACACTTTTGTACCAATTTAGGATTGGTATACGGGTTTACCAAACAATCACAGTTTATTATATTCCTCTTCGTTTTAGAACAATTGTGTGTGATTTTTAATTAAATAATAGGAGCATATACAGGATAAGTTTTAAGAGTTTATTTTTGATTAAAAATGTTAAACCACTGTAGTACTTTAAACGTTTAAATTTAAAAAAAAAAAAAAAAACAGATTATGTACCTATATAGCTTATAAGGTAGAGGTTAAACCTAGGGAGAAGTAAATTATGCGATCACTCCCTCCTATTATGTATAAAATAAAAATAAAATAACTTCCTCAGTCCCACCCCTCGTGCAGAGAACTTCCTTAATTTATTGGTGCGTAAATATTTGAATTTTAGAATTGCCAAATGATTTATAACATTTAAAAGTTTATAGGTACCTATATATATATATATGTTTATAGGTACTGTTTTACATCTTATTTGTCGAAAATTGTCAAAAAATAGTTTAACTTTGTGCTCAAAATTATTCCATCCATCACTTTATTCTACTTTGATTAATCGCACGTTGTTATCGCATCTTTTGCCCCTTTCGGGCGCATATAATATTTTTAATTATCATATTATTAATAATAAATCTCTTACTTCGCTGGGCGATAACTGTTGTGTGGGTATAACGGTGATGGGAAATTGCGTAATATCCGTTAGATCGATATCGGCGTCTACTTCGCTAATGTTATCGCCAAATGCGTTTGGGTCGATTGACATGTCATGGCTGGCGTTATCGGACTTATGTTTGTTGTCCAAATGTCTCCTGGAACGCTGCCAGACGAATTTGGCCGCCACGACACACAGTACAGACAGCAGGCCGCCAATCAGTCCACCGCCCAAGTATAAGTAAAACTTGTCTTGTTTTTCTAAACAAAAAATACACAAAAAAAATCAACAATTACACATGATTTCCGTACGCACAACGGTAATGATAATATCATAACCGATCGATCGTACGAAATGGCCAGCGACACGTCGATAACTTAACCGTAGTATCGTGAAACGTCGACCATAATAATAATAATAATAATATAACCATATCGAAACGTCGATCGTTATTCAACTATACCCACGTCGAAACTACTACTTCGAGGACAAAAATCAAATCCGCCAACTCGGGACTATAATATTTCCGAGTGTATTAGACACCGCGTGGAGTACCTACGTATATAGAGATGGCATACAAATTAAGTATGTGTATATAATACTGTACGGAGCATATTATTATTATTATTGTGGTGGAGTGGTTCGATTGTCTAAGTTGCGTCTGGCGAGTATTATAAACCCAGCCACAGCGAGCGGTAAACGCACGTGAGATTACTGCTGTATTGACGTTATAGCCCCGGCCGCATTACACAACCCCTATAATATATACTGACTTTGATGCTACGTTTATTAATTTAAGGTCTGCTGCCGGGTTATACAATACAGGAGGGGCAGGTACCTCCCCTATTCCGGTATAGAACGCCGTCTAAATAAAAGTCTGTTGTTCGATAATAATAATAGTAATAATAATAATAATAATAATAATGATAAAAAAAAGTTTATATGAAAAAACAACAAAGCCACTTGTGCATAATATTATTATATTAGATATACTAATATTAGTTTTGGGTTTTTCATCGGAAACGAATTCACAAGATAAAATATTGCGATCGGATACCGTTCGTGGTGGTCGAGGGTACACCTTTATCAGTATTACGGTCGTAGGTATGTAATATGTAATATGATATCTACAACCACCTTGTAGAACATTCATTATTATATCGTCATAATGTAATATCATAATGGCGCGATAGCCTCGCCATTGATAGCCTTCGGGTTTATGAGATGTAGTTATTAATCTGTAATATAAATACATAGGTGATATAAGAATACTGGATTTCACACTCTGAGCCATGAATGTATAGGTTTTGCAACGAAGTGTTTAAAAAAAAAAAAAAATTAGCGGCTGAGACACTTTTTATATTATATATGAAAAATTCTTCGATTTTCAATTTTAAAGGTGGTTTTTGGTAGAAAATTTCAGGATATAGATGGTATTTCAGGGATCGATAGGAAAAAAAAACGTAAAATTACTGAGAAACGATAATATTTACCCGCAAAACCATTTCATGACAAAATTGATTTTGTTATTATTCAAAAACAAAAACCGAAGATTCTTTTTCCAAATATTGGCATTTTATACAAGTGGTATAATTTTCAAAATAGTTTTCCTCATTTATAGACATTACAATTTTTGACTTTTTTTTTTATAATTTAGGCATAAAAACAGTTTTACGTTTAGTTAAAAGTTTGAAAATGTAATACAAAGTTTTCATAAGTTGATCTTACAGCATTCTAAAAATATCGAAAACATATAAGCACAGTTTTTTGTTTATAAATATTTGAAGTTTTAACTTTGATAACATTGGATTAATAAACGAAAAATAACAATTTATGTTATATATAATTCATAAAAAATTCATCGTAGGGACTTGAAACTTTTTGCCATTATGTATATAATTGTTTTCTGATGACATTTTTAAATCATGTCGACTAATTTTTATTTATTAATATCGTTAAACTATTTTCATCGTTCTACTGTTCTGTTGGTGTTGGCTTATGAGTTATAAACAGATAACAATAATATATGATATGATAATATTTTAACAATATCAGTTTATATGCTATGCTTTTGCAAAAATTAGTTCAACCTACCGTAATAGTTCTATGAACAAGTGATAAAATATCCTTAGAAATATGAGACAGTGACATATACAGTCTCCGCTCAGAATCGTTTTTCGTACTGATGAAATGATTTATCATTGAATTAAAATCCGTTTTACATTCATTACAATGACCTACTTAATGACGAGGTAGGCTCGAACTAGCAGCAAAACGGTTTTCCGGTTTTTTGTTGTTGTTGTTGATGAGCTGTATTATGTTGGTACGTTTATTTTTGTGTTCACTTCATAATCACAATAATTTATGTATAATTCAAGTCTTCGACATAATATTATAATATCTATTGATTGTATTATAATCTAATCCATTCGGTTTTGATGGTAAAATATAAACACTTTAAAAGACATTTGAACATTTGTCCAGTTTTACTTTTTTTTGGTATTATTAGTTTTATTTATAAAGTCAAATATTTATACTAGAAATTATATGAATTTCTAAAGTTATATTCAAATAATAATACTTTATGTACTGTACATAATATTTTTCGAAAAACTTATATTTATATGCTTATCTGTGAATGTTTTACACGGAGACACGAATATTATATTTATAGGGTTTTTGTAACGAATTTGGTAGGTACTTTATTATCTTTTTTTTTGAAATTCTCATCTTTTTATTCACGAGAAGGGATACTATTGTTGCGAATATCATAAAAATATTTGTCAAAGGAAATAACTGACTTGATAAGTTATTAAAAAGTATTTTAATTCAAACATTTTGCAACAACAGTTTGAAACAATTCCCAGAAATCTGTTCTTATATTGATAACTTTCAATGGTCTAAACCAATCTCATCTTATATATATATATATATTTAATGAAACGACGCAGTATTACATAACAATATGGAAAATTAATTTGGTTAAGTACCATTAGACGATAAATTATTTTTCAATAAATACCTTACCCGTACACTGTTTATTTTAAATTAATTAAATTTCGTTTGATTTTTGTTGACAGACAGCGCTTGTTTTCGCTCATGTCGTTCAAACCTGCAGCCATTAATATTTCACTTACTGTACACAATCCTGTAAGAAACGTAACCAAAAGTAACGATGTTAGCTAAGACGCTATTTGGACCGGCAGTGTTCGTTGTGGTAATATTTTGTACCGGATTCTGTGTCGTGGACTGTTGATACGTATGCCGAGATATCGTACCTAATGTTGACAATACGGAAATGTCAATAATAATTATATAATCTGTGATTTTTCCACCCAGCAAAGCGAAGGTTTTTGTGTTCCATTTATTCACAGTGGTTCATAGCGATGACCGTGCATCAGCGAGTGTGCTAAATATTGATAACTTATAAGCCGCAGCGTATATATTACAGTGTAGGTATAATAATAGTCATAATACATACATATATAGTTGTGTAGCACTAGTGCAGGTTAGGTTACAATTAAACATGATTATTAGACTGTTATTGCATTACCCGCTGTGGTTATATGGCAACTGGCGTGTATAATATTATTATATATTAATATAGTGCGTCAAAGGGTTAGTATCAAGCAAAATTAGCGATATTAATCAAACCGTCGTTATATTAGGTATGCCTATAACATAAATTTATTGTTATTAGCCCGAAAAGTATGATAAAACGAAGATGATATTGTGTTCTCAAATAATCGAGTGATATTTCTATGGAATTGTATGGACAATCGAGGGGAGTCCTGCCTGCTCTGTGATAGTTTTTAATTGAAAACAATTACGTTAAACAAAATTATAATGATTGAAGACAGACTCTTGCAGATTGTTTAGTGTAAGGGTGGCGAGTTGGGTGCGACTTTCAACACTGCGGTAGAAATATTTCTAATTTATTTTGTTTTTCTCATTTTTAATAATACAGTTAAGAAAATATAAACCTTATTGGATTTCAATAAGCAGGTAGGCTTTCGTCTCGCTATAATTTAGTTTTGAATTTTTGAAAAAAATACTTTTTAATAAAAAGAAAACAAGGTTACCTACTCGTTATTGTAGAACAATATTATTTATTGTATTACTGTTAAATATACATTTTTGTGGATTTCACTGTTGTAGTCTTTACAACTTCAGTTTGCGAATATTTCGATGAAGAGTTTTCTAGTAAATAAATATTAAGTAAGATTTTATAATCAACAGGAGTACCTATGATTATAATCGTATTTTGGAATGAGAACAATTATATTGTTCGTCTATTACTTTCAGAATAACAACAGCACATAAGTACTCACATATAATATGTTAATAGTTTCAACGTGAGTCAGATTAAAACACCAGATTACCACTTGAGCAATTAAAACAATAAATTTAGATTTAAATTTTAAATTGTGAGCCTTACTTTTAAGTTAGGTTAACTATGTTTGTATATTTTTTTCTGTTTGACGAAAAAATAATAGCAATGTATTATACAAACTAATAAGAAAAACAAATAAAATGTGAATATCCTTATTTTAAACATGAAAATCACTACCAAAAAAGAAATAATACGTGACAAGAAAATATATACTACTATAAAATAAAATAAATTTAATTGATGACCATTGGGGCTTTTCTTTAAATTGATTTAATTTCGTAATCGATTTATAATCTCCTTAAATGTTAGTTCTAGATTTTATCCAGTAACCCTTGTATTTTTATTTAAATGTCTTACATTAAAATAAATATTCTTTACGACATTTGTGAATAGGTATAATACATCGGACAATTTTTGAACGCCTTTACCAATTAACTCTTTATGCATTGAGAAACATGCATTAATTATGTTTAAATTATAAAACAGCAATTAAAAATGCTTATTGATATTATATTAATATAAAAACGTTGTGATAAAATAAAAAGGTCAAACAATTAGTCAAAATTACACCAAACGTTTAAAATTAATTTATTTTAAGTACAATAATTATAGCGGGAATTATTTAAATGGTTTATTTTATATTTTTTTTTTAGAAAAATAAAAAACAGCGAACAGTCTTCAACGAGTTCACTGTATTAACATAATTCGTATTTTATAGAATATGTCCCACGAGGAATTACTAATTTAAAGTGGCGGGGTATAATGTTGATACGGTTTCCTCGTTATTTTAAATCGAAAATCCTCCGTTATACACATACCCTAAATAATAATAATAGTAGTAGTAATATATATAATATATACAACAATACGTATTTCGTGTTATTCAAGAACCATATCGACGTTTTTCCATTACTGATATTATGCGTGTGCCATAAACGTATATGATAATAAATCAATATTTCCGTGTGCTTACCCAGTGACGAACTAGATGAATTTCCGTGCCCGACGGGATCGGCAGCCGACTCGTTGTACCTAGTCCTGGGGTCGTTGGCTGGGGGGGATAAGGATTCGAATGGCTGTATGGGGGCCACACCGGGGTTGTCAAAGTAGTCCAGTTCCATTACAGTCGGTTCGTCGGAATGAGCAGGCTCTTCGAATTGTTCTTTTAACACTCTCCTGGGCACTATAAAAAACCAATACCGAAAACATGTAGATTAGTCTACAATATATTATTATATTGTTAACACGGGGTCTTATCAAGTTTTTTTTTGTGTTTTGTGTTTATGGTTCAAATGGGAGATCGTACATCATGGAAAACGCCGTTTCAAATAAAACAGACTAGTGCACTCCGAGGGGTATTAAAAACGCCATTTTAAATTCGATCGGTGTTTTCAACACACATATAGACATCAGACATATATTATTATTGTATTATTATTTTCATAATATGGTTTATTATCGTGTGTATTATATAGGTATTTTGATTAATCATTTGTTACTCGGCTTCTCTAATAAATTTTAATAGTGTTTCAGTAACTAGTTTTAAAACACATAATATTTTATAATGCATATTTAATAGAAGCAAATTGTATTTGTTTTCCTATTCATTGTTGGTGTTAGTAAACATAAAACGGAAAATTATTATTCATTATGGAAGACAATAGCATCAAGTATGGGCGCTTGATAAAATATTTTCTCACAATAATTTATTATTCTAAAGATTTTTTTCAAACAATCAATTTGTTTTAGATTATAAAATTATATTTATTCAAACATTTTTATTTTATTTATGTAGGTAGTCTGGTAGTTCCATTAAAACGAAATGAATTACTTAGAGAAAAACTGTCGCAACTTTTTTGTCCTTGTAAAAAACATCAAGTAAATGTGCTTTTGAAAATCGCTTTTTTAAGTACATATTAGTAATAGTTATATACATCGTTCTTATATGTATACTACCAATAAGTGCTATCAAGCAATACGTATAATCATATCGAGTAATTATTGTGAAATGTTATTTTGAAAGTAGATAGAGTACACGAAATGTTGGATAGGTATTAGAAACTACACAAAAACGTATATATTTCTATGTAACTCAGCTGGAATTTTCAAAAGATGATAAGTTGATTAGAATAAATATAGTGTATATAGGAGTAAACCAGAAAACTATTAAATAAATGGAAGTACTTTTATGTGAGTCCATCATGTATATTGACAGTGTACAAAACTATTAAACTATGTAAACCTATTAAAACACAAAGGAATATGGGATATGTGCAATTTCGTTATAAACTTGTTTCAATTAATTTATCAGATGGAAAATTTTCAAATTAGCACAAATAATTAATGTTGTAAGTTTGAAATGTAGGTATACACTATACACTATAAAATATGAGATGTATAAAAGCATAAAGGTAACATTGTGTATGTTGAAATAGGCGAATGAACGCAAAAATATGTATTGTCCGTAGACTCATAAATGACAATTGTATAGACTATTACACTATTACAATCAGGTATATTATTAAATATATATGTACATGTATAAATTTAGAATATTGAAGTCACGATTGTTTTTAATATTACTAGTACATTTTATAGTTAGTTACAGTTTAGATTTATTTTTTTAAGGGGATTGGAAGCGGCGATTTTCTGTCTTTGTCTAACACACGTGCAACATAGGATTATAGACGTGTTTTATGTCCAACGTACCGATTAATCTAGTGAAGCGATAAGAATTCTGAAAACAGATTTGAATTTGTCGTCAAATCTACTTGAGATCGACTTTCCCACATTTTTGATATTTTGATTAAAACTTCTCCAAAAATTGAAATATGGCAATTTTTTAATTACTCTTTTTAATATATCACTTTTAAGATTTTTGGGGGATAATATCAAAAATGTGGGAAAGTCGATCTCAAGTAGACTTGACGACAAATTCAAATCTGTTTTCAGAATTCTTATCGCTTCACTAGATTAATCGGTACGTTGGACATAGAACACGTCTATAATCCTATGTTGCACGTGTGTTAGACAAAGACAGAAAATCGCCGCTTCCAATCCCCTTAAGCGAATGATCAATATTAGGGTTATTTTAAGAAAATGTATGTATATTATGTAAAATAATCATTATTGAAGAAAACAGTTAACATTTAATATTCTGACTATCGACATAGAAATATATTGCGAGCTATACAAAATGAAAATAAAAATGTTATAAATTAATTCATCCAAATATCAAATTATGGGCATGTTCTGGGGAACTATCATCATAGGATCTTGTACCGACGAAAACACAAAACAATATAACAGTTTTTGGAATATATTAAACTTATATACTGGGAATCCAATGTACACTACAAGTCTACAAATATTTACTAAATGTAATATTAATAACTCAAAAATGTAGGTAATGCGTTATTGATAGAATATATAGTGTATACATCATATTATTATTATTATTACAACGTATACAGATACGGGGTAGCGAACTATATATTATATTGTTGCTTTATTTAATAAAAATAACAATAATAATAATAATTCGAGTTGGAGAAAATATGGTGCATTACAACATGTCGCTTTTTTAAAAGATATTTTATTCCATCGTATTACGACGGCGGAAAATGTAAACGTTTTGGACGAGTATATTTGCTTTTCATCAATTCGTTTTCCGGGAATGCATTACGGGTTAGGTATCTGTCTACAACACGTATGATATATATACGTAGACGTATTTCATTTTAAAATGATTTGTGAGCAGGTCGCAGCTATATAGCTCCGCCGAGTGGCCATACGAATTTTTCAGATTTTTTAGCGTAGGTGATGCTCAGTGTGCTCCAACTTCTTTTTTTCAAGTCTAGGGCGGTTTTGGCCGATGAGCATATACCCTACATTTTTTGTTAGATTTTTAATAACCGTTTGAAAATAATTGCTTTTGCCGTTTGTCGTGGGTTATTTTATAAAATGGCGTAATACGAGCACATGTAATCGTCAATTTCAACGCTGCACTCGAAAATTGGTTCCAAATTGTCGAATTGGTTCAGCTGGACCAATCCGATGGATTGTCTTATATTAATATAAAGACCATGTTAAATGTATGAAATATATTTTAAACAATTATTTCATAGCAAACCGACAACAGTTTCACAGGTTAACAAGCTCGTGTTTCAAATTAATCTATACAAAAGTTATAAGCAATAAGCTAATATACGTATTTGTCAATATTACGATAATAATCAAATGGTTTATAATAATTGATAATAGTCTATAGCCCAATATCAAATAGGCGAGTCGAAATTAATTAAAATAAATACCTAATAATGAAAAAAACAATTAAAGTAGTGTGCATTTATTATACGCATATTGTCAACTCGAAATTTGGTAGTCATTCAGTTTTTCATTTATTGTTTTCACCAATTAACTTTTCCTTTTCAACTGTTTTTCCTGACTCTGAGTGGGCTTCTTTGTTTTAGATATGTTTCACTTTAGATATTTTTTCAGTTAAAAAAAAAGTATTTGTGTGGGTGAAATACAATTTTGTATTAAGTTTTCCGTCAAACTATTTGCAACAATATGAGTATAGTTTGTTCTGCCGTACATGAGAGTTCTGCCCACATGTTTCTGGTGGAAAATCATAGTCATCAGATCTCAATAATATTTCTTATTTGCATGTACGTGAAACAGTTCGAACAGTTGTATGATGATAAGATATTTTTTTTATCGGGAACCAATTCCGTATTTGCCATTTATTGAATTCTCTAATATTGATCTTCAACGATCCCGACTGTATATTATAGCCATCCTAACTGGTCACTAAATCGCGCACCTACAACCCACAGACTGCCTATAGTACTTTATTGCCTACACATAATATACTGGGACCTCTATAACTCGGTCTATAAGGTTTTTGATAATTTGAAGGAATATCTGGGCCCCTGTATTTAAATATTTACATACAATTTAACTCTTAGAATACATTCTCAGAATAGTCTCGGTACATACGCTGCACATAATATATGTATCTAGCTATAGGCTCCCATTGACGGGTTATAAGATGATGGGTAGTAAGAGCGCTAATGCGAGATGATAAGAAATGTAAATTTATTTTTTATTTACAGGAGGTCTCCAGGTTTACTGCATCGTAATAAAAAAAATTGTCCTTGGAATAGCTTCAGATACTCACCGCAGTTCTTTCAAGTACATCCTCGAAGCTGGTTTTCAAGGGTTGCCGACTGTATATTATAGTCATCCTAACTGGTCACTAAATAGCGTACCTATAGGTTTACCTAAAACCCACAGACTATAGTACTTTATTGTCTACACATAAGATACCGGAACTTCTATCGCTCGAAGGTTTATAAGGGTTTTTTGACAGTTTGAAGGAATATCTGGGCCCCCCTGCATTCAAATATTTACATACAATTTAACTCTTAGAATACATTCTCAGAATAGTATCGGTACATACGCCGTACATAATATGTACCCAGCTATAGGCTCCCATTGACGGGTTATAAGATAATTGGTAGTAAGCGCTCTAATGCGAGATGATAAGAAATGTAAATTTATTTTTTATTCACAGGGGGTCTCCCTTACACTAGGGTCGCCGGTTTACTGCATCGTAATAAAAAAAATTGTCCTTGGAATAGCTTCAGATACTCACCGCAGTTGTAAACGACTTTCAAGTACATCCTCGAAGCTGGTTTGCAAGGGTTGCGACTGTATATTATAGTCATCCTAACTGGTCACTAAATAGCGTACCTATACGCCTACCTACAACCCACAGACTATAGTACTTTATTGCCTACACATAATATACCGGAACCTCTATCACTCGAAGGTCTATACGGTTTTTTGACAGTTTGAAGGAATATCTGGGCCCCCTGCATTTAAATATTTACATACAATTTAACTCTTAGAATACATTCTCAGAATAGTATCGGTACATACCAGTGGCATATATACAAATTATTTTCACTATGGGCCATTTTGGGCAATTTATCACTATCCAAGCATAGCCCGGCTAACATAGGCATAATACTGTAGGTACACATTTCTGGGAGCTGAGTGGTTATAATTATGATTTATGACATATACAATACAAATAAAAACTGCACAATCTTATTTTATAATTATGTAAAATTAATTTCTTAATTCTTTTTTAAAAAATATTGACAATTTAATTTATATATATATATTTTAATGTTATCTAACTGTGAATTTAACATCAAAGTCATCAAAACAAGTCCTGACAATCATTTCTTTGTGGATTCCTCAAAAACGATTTTAATCAACTGACTAAATTAATCATGGTGAAAAACTGTAAACAGTGTAGATATACATGAAATGCTTTAAGTAATTGAACCTACAATTTCACTATGGGCTCTGGCCTAGGGGGCCTCCCCCCTATATACGCCACTGGTACATACGCCGCACATAATATATGTACCTAGCTAGGCTCCCATTAACTGGTTATAAGATGATTGGTAGTAAGCGCGCTAATGCGAGATGATAAGAAATGTAAATTTATTTTTTATTCACAGGGGGTCTCCCTTACACTCTGGTCGCCGGTTTACTGCATCGTAATAAAAAAAAATTGTCCTTGGAATAGCTTCAGATACTCACCGCAGTTGTAAACGACTTTCAAGTACATCCTCGAAGCTGGTTTGCAAGGGTTGCCAAACGTTGCCGCATCCGCCGCCAGTCTGCAATTTCTCTTGCCGTGGCACACAGTCATCACAGTCTCCGTCGCGTAACTCACCAGGCACGCTGGAAAATAGTTTGACGTTTCAATATTGTCCGACGGTACATTTTTAACAATAATAACCGTTATGTTCGTCGAATCGTGTCTACGAAACAGATTGATCGTAATATAATAGGAATAATAATATTATTGTACTTTGCAATTATTTTAAACTTTCGATCATTACCACTAAAAGGGTTTTTCGAGTTGTGTTAGGACATAATTTATAGTAAAAAAAAAAAATAAAGCATTCATCTATTAATTTAAAAAAAAATTACAAAAAATTGTGCAATTAAATTATGTTCTTCATGGAGTAAATTTATTCGTACGAATATAAAAAAATAATATTTTACACACATTAACGTGTACGCGGTAATCGTTGAGAGCGAAAGTCAGTAATGTCCGTTTGAACTGTTTTCATATGCCCGCAAAAATGAACTCAAACCCCAAATACATACTACAACAACTATCACTCTTATGTCGTTGCATAGTAAAATATGTTTGTGTATCCATCACTATAGCGAGCATATTTCAAACCCAAAGTATTTAAACAATGACCCATCATCCACTATCCCGTACTGCATAATATATCTTTTAAAGTTGTATGAAAATTTAGAATTTTCGTTATAGGACGTTATCAATAGTATTCAGTACGAAAAGTTCTTACTAGAATAATTGACTATACATTCACCCGCACAAATTTTAATAAAAAAAAAAATAAACAAATTTCCAGAGCTGGGCAATATTGCATTAGGTACACGCGTCGTCCACCAACTCTAAAGTGATACAAAATTACTCATGTAATGTAAGCGACGGTCAAAACATATTGGCTGTGATAACATACCGAGTCCTAATATATATATATATATATACAGGGTGTAACAGAAAGATATGACAAAATCGATTTTGGTTTTTGGTTAAACTCTAAAACAAATGAACGCATATACATGACATTTTCACTGTTAGTTTATATTTGCATTTTCTATTCACGATAAAATTTTCAAAACATTTTGATTTGTGTTGAACTGTTTAGGAACATTTCCAGTATATGTATATGTCATATCTTTCTGTTACACCCTGTATACTAACGAGTATTCAAGCAGTTATATAACACGTTTGCATCAAATGCGATACCAGTAAACTAAGGAGCATGTTGGATGATTTTTTTTTTTTAATAGCGCTGTTAAGAGGACACCGCCCATACATTTGTTGTCTCCGTCTTACACACGCACGACATAGCAAATTGTCGTTCACTAGTTTCAATAGTATGCAGTTAGATTTGATACTAGAGTGACCTATTATAACATATTTAGATAATGACATTATCTGTGCTTAAGCTTTGGTTTTTATTCGATATTTTAATTTTCAAGCGAGATATGAGCATTTTAAATTTTTGATATTTTACGTACACATATCTTACTTGAAAATGAAAATATTTAAAAATCGCCAATAATATATAATATTCTAAGCTTATAGTATGATAATAGGTCAATTCACTGTAATATTAAAACTAACAACACACTATTTAAAGTTTAAACTAGCGAATGGAAATTTGGTGTGTCGTGCGTGTGTAAGACGGAGACAACAATGAACACGGGTGGCGTCCTCTTAAAAAGAGAAGGGTTATTTTTCGAGGAGTCGTGACAGTCTGGAAATCGATAATTATAATTTTATGATATTTACTCTCTTCTGGAACGCCCTGTGGTTGCGGACACTGGATACTCTCGTACTCTGTCCGTCCGTAGCTGGCCGAGAACATTGCTAGTCGGGAATTCGGATTGCACTGCAAGTTGACCACCTCGTTTTCGCATGCCACTTTGCTCCTGAACTCGACTGTCAACAGATAAACGAATACGATCGTCGTCAGTACTGGCCACACTATACATACATACAATATACGTATGTAATATATATATGTAGCAGTGTTGGGAAAGTTCCTTTTAAAAAGGAACTCGTTCCCGTTCCTTCATGTTCCTTTTTTTACAATTTGAGTGGTGGTCAATGGTGTATTTTGCGAACAATTTTTAAGTTAGAAATAATCGAACCGAGAGAGTTAACCGATTATTTCTGACTTAAAAATTTTTCGCAAAAAACACCATTGACCACCACTGAAATCGGTTAACTCACTCCTTTCTAGGAGCACCGATTTTTAACAAAAGTCGGCTCAGTTTTGGCGCGGAAACACACTATATGCGCTTCATAAAATATACTGTGGCACTCAACGTGTTAAAAATAAATATATTTATATTTTTTTTTTCATTATTTGAGGAACGGAAATTTTCGTTCAAGTTCCTTCAAAATAGGAACTCGTTTCCGTTCCTCGTTCCTATATTTTAAATGGAACGCGTTCCGAGCTTCGTTCCTATAAAAGGAACGCGTTCCTTCCCAACACTGATATGTAGATAGATATGATAATATAACGCGTTATCACCGTCGCAGGTGTACGAATGAGTAGCAGGTGACGAAACTCGTTTATTGATTTTGGATTCTTTGTGAAAAGTCGAGAAAAGTGAAATAAATAATATTCTAAACGTGCGGCAGACCTGCGCCTGCTATATTGTTGTCGGAGTCGTTTAAAACCATTTTTTTTCCCAACGATATTAACTTTGCTATTAAGTGCGCTGTATGCGTATTATTGCACTTTGCACTATTCTCTACTCTGCAGAAACCGTCTTCGGCGTTTTAACTCGTTTTATCTCTGAATAATAATTTACACAACTATAGTAATTTCAGAAATTTAATTGAAAATTGTAATTTCCAAAAAATGTTGTACTTACACCCATTTTCGTATGAGGGAACGGTCGTTTAGATAATTTGATTAGGAAAATACAAATGTAAAAACATTATTCTTTTATTTTTATTCTTATAATTTAAAAAGTGCTAGGAAAACAATTTTTTTTGTTTAAAACAACGGTTTTTTTTTTAAATTCATTTGCTTAAAACAAAATGTTATAAAACTAACAACTATACTTTATAATTGTATGTACATTTGAAATAGAACTCATTGTGTACCAAAGTTATATTTTTTTATCTTTGTTTTCATAGTAGTTGCAACATATTATTAAAATATAGTGTAGGTACAAATTATTATTGATTCGGTTACTACCTATACAAGTTTAAGTGCGTTTAATTAAGGGTTAAGCAAAATCAGCAAGAAAGTGTGTTATACTTGTGAAACATCTGTAAATATTAGTTTTAACGATATAACTAAGTAATTAAAAGTCAATAAAAAAAAGGTAAGAATATCCTTTTTAATACAAAAAATATTATTTTAATGTAAAGAAAAATGAAAACGTTACCTATGTATCATTTATGGAATAAATTATTTTTATAAATCCATGTAATTTCGAAACAACAATAATTTTAAAACTAAATTGTTATACGTTAATAAATTTGAATAAATTGTTTGAGGGGAGTAATTATATACTTGAATAAAAATATAGTTTTTATAGTTATAGGATTGTACCACGTGAAAATATCCCTACATGAACATTACGACCTTAATGTTGTAAATATTTTTCTTTGGTATTAAATTTTCAAAATACAATTTTATACACGTATTATTTTCTATTTACATAAAGTGACTAATAGGATCAATAATTTAGTGTATAAAATATAAATAAATATATTTTAAGGCTTCTAGGACTGAAGTAATTAGCCGGTAGGTCGGTAGGGTTGGACGGTTGGTTTGGTCGGTTAGGAACACGTGTAAATGTGTATGTGTGGTCACCCATCCGAGAACTAGTGGCAGCGGCAGTTGCTTACTCTCAATCACATCGATTTCAGTCACTGCGCTTCGCCTTGCCACTCACATTTTATTGTATTTCCAATTTTAAATTAAATGAGAAGCGCCTATACAATATTATGTCGAACTATCTTTATCTTCATTTGTGTGTTTTTTTTTAACAATAATTTTATTTAATTTGCAAACAATCGCCAACATATTTTCAACTATAAGTATACAGTAGTAAGTCTGCTCACCTCCTACAAGCATAGACTTAAAAATGTTAACGATTGCGTGGAAAATGTATTGAAATGTTCATCGTTTTTCAAACTGTTCCGCAAATCTTTTGAAACCTAAGAGTATACTCAGCTGACTTTTATTCAATTGTTTCGAAGGAAAAAACGAATCCACGAGTAAAAGGGTTACGTGAGTCAAAAACAAACAGTTGATTATAATGATTAATAGCCGGGTTCAACACAACATCCGAAAAAAAAAACAATCGTTATTAGGTATATTATTATTATTATATACAAAACAAAAAGAGACGGCACAGAGACTGTGTGCGGTGGTGTTGGGCACTCGTCTCGCTGCGTTCACCCCCGGGGCAATCCAGTGTCGTATTATTATTATAAATCATCGCGAAAAACGAAACCGAGCTGGCTAGGTTTACTTTGCAGTTTATCCGGACGTTTTTCACGCTTTAAATTCACATACAATTTATATTTATATATAAGCACCCGAACCACACGATTTTCGGGGTTTAATTCTCGCGGCATTTGAATGAAACGACGCGCAACGATATAATAATAGTAATAATAATAATATCGTGAAATTTCCGACAACCCACGTCGACCGCGTTGTTAAATGTATTTAATCCTTTTTTTTTTTGTTTTTGAGTGGTCACCTGTTGTTGGCTAGACGGGTTGTCGGGATATTAACCATATTATTATCTTATCAGTATACGTTCTGTTGGTATTTTTAAATATTATTATAGTTTCCGGCCTCTACGAGTTTGACCCTAACAATATACATTAACCACGGCAACAAGCCGCTGTTATCGTTGTCCGCAGTAACAAGTTACCAAACACGACTACCTATATACCACACGGTTTGTCTCGCCGTGTTTTTACTTGTTCACTTACCCGCCCACCTATTATTTATACACCCACTTTCAACCCATAAAACTTTCAATACTATTCGAATAGCTCATCAGTCGAGCTTTCGAAATATATTTTACACGAATAATTAGCTCTATAAATCGCTCATTTTACATTTTTGGGGACAACAATGATGAATCAAATATAATTCCGTAAAATATAATAATCGAGTTTCTCTAATACGGTTATAATATTTATATATAAAAAAGTTATTGGCTGGGATAAACGACTCTCCGGCAATAGCTGAGCTAAAAACATTTTCTCCGGTATCAGAGACCATCTGGGTCAGTCTATGGGAGGATAAGCTTTTCCAAAACAAACAACCAAACTATATATAGACAGGAATGAGTTTATAATAAGTTTTTTTTCAGTTTTTGTGAGTTTAGTCTGTCAAAAAAAAAAAAACAAAAAAATTATCATAATATTAAGCTGGTGTCCGTGTCTATACGATTTTTTGTATACTCGTGCTCATCGCGATTTGTTCAAATATTATTGAGAAGTTTTAAAAATTGACCGGTTAAAGTTTTGGTTTTCGATCAATTCAATTACTAAAATGTAACAAAATGATGAGACTTCTAGAATCATTTTAATCAACGATGGTGTATAAAATATTATTTGGTAGAAATGGCTCAAAATCTTCACGTCATCCTTTAAAGGCACATGTATGGGTTTTTAAAGTCGTGTGCCAGGTGTGTGTGTGTGTGTGTGTGTGTGGGTGGCTTTTACTGGTTTGTCGTTATTTTTTTTTTACAGTATATATAGTTATATCAAAACAACGTAAACCGTTTTGTCAGGCAATTTTTTTGTGAATCACTCTTTCCTTAAAGTTTCAATCACTAATACCTCTGACGACGGATTGTGTTCCTATATAAATAATACATTAGCTCGCGACTGAGTTTTATTCGAATTTCTAATGAATAAAACTGCCACGGACAACTACGCACTGCGATGACGCAAGTTTGCATAAATAATTCGAACGTCCCGTTTGTATGCCTCACAGATCATAATAATAATAATAATAATAAAAATAGTGTGTGAATACGGTGTACAATAATAATTATTAAATCGTGTCAAATGAAAGTCTATAACGGTTCGATTCACATTTATGCGTTAGATGTTCATTTGTTTTTCAACTACGCCAGTATAAATGTTAAATATTATTTCCACAGCACAACAATACCGGCGGCGTTTTTCGATTAGACTGCATAAAATGTCGTCCATTTTCAATTGAATAACCTCATTTAAATATTATGTTTATCCATACAACGTGTTTAATGTATATTATTTACATTCGTTTTTATGAAATTGTGATTATTAAAATACCCCCCTCGCCCATACTCGTTGAAATGCAGTTATGTATATTTAGGGTCTTTAACGGTGGGAAATTATATTGATTAATATAATTCATATCACGAAATATTTTAAATTCATTAGACCCAGGACCGGGGACAAACGGTCGACCATTATCACCTAATAATATAATATTTCCGACGTCCCAAATTCAATAAAATAGCTCGTTAACACTTCTATCACTCTCGTGGCCATTATAATATTTTCCATAGACCAACGCTCCATCCATTAACTATTATTGGTAACTATCAACAAAATCAATTTCAAATATGTTTGATGTTCATACAACAATTACTTCTGAGATATACATTTAATATATTTTGAACACTCAGCAACAATTTCACGATTTTTTTATTACGCTTTAAGGGACATGGCGAAACATTTAATTAAACACTTTACAATGTCTGGAAGATTTGTGTGTAATAATGTTATCATTTCGATCCTTACCTAAGGCCTTTCAGTGTAATACTCATAACTTAAAATTTAAATATTAACGACCGTTTCTATAAAATGTTTTCTACCTGGCTGACTACGTGGTTATTTTTTTTTGTTTTATGGACCTTGATTGACTCAAGTTAGAAAATTTACCATAGCATGCAATC